GTCAAAACCATCAGTTGGTTTGTATAGATACAGTCTGCAAATGACATACATACATACATATATATATATATATATATATATATATATATATATCATGGACTGAGATATTTCCATGAATAAATATATAGCCTGGACTTGTGACAGCAATAATGCCACTTCTAGAAGTCAAGAAGTTCAGAATTCAGGTGACTTCTAGATTGTGACAATCTTGGCAAGAAAAAAGTATAACAACTCTACTGCAGTATTGTTGACATACATAAGCTATATATATTTTGAATGTGCAATTTTATAATGGAATCTGTCACCACAACCAAAGTAATGAACATACCCATCATTATAAAATATTTTCCTTTGCCCTTTTACAATCCCTCTCTCTAGTTCCTGTCTTTTAGGCAAACAGTCCTTTACAATCTGATAATATTTGTGTCACTTTATTGAATGAATGAAAAATACAATAATTCAGTAAGTTACTCTTTTTCCCATGTCTTATTTATTCAACGTAATAAGTATTTTCAGATTTACTGAGATTGTAGTATAAATCAATAATAATTCAATAATTTTTGTCTTCTCATCTGTATAATATTATTCGTTTTAATGCAAATAGTATTGTATTGTATAAATATACCACCATGTGTTTATCCATTTATTAGTGACAGACATTTAGGTTTTTTTCAGTCTTGAATCATTACAAATCAAGCTGCTATAAACATTTATGTACCAGCCATTGTTTGGTCATATGCTTTATTTTCTCTTTGGAAAAACCTAGGAGTAGAGTAGGTGGTTGGTGAGTAACTTTTTAATAAACTTCCAAATGATTTGCAAATCATTCTCACCACCACTTGGTTTGGTTAGTCTTTTTTATTTAAGCCATTTTAGTACCACCTGCAGAGTGTTGTCACACTATGGTTTTAATTCGTTTCCATAGTAACAAATGATGTTGAACTTCTTCTCGTGGGCATATTTACCTTCTATATACCTTACTTGAAAAGATGTCTATTTATTCATTATTAAAAATTGGTTTGTTTATTTACATCAGATAAGCAATTTGCAAACATTTCTCCTAGTCCGTGGCTTGTCTTTATATTCATTTGACATTGTTAGTTGAATAACAGAAGCTTTCAATTTTGATGAAATATATATATATTTCTTTAATACACCCTGATTTGTTGTAATAGTGAAGAAATTTTTGCTTAACCCCAAATCCCAAAGGTTTTCTTCTGTGTGTGTTTTTTTTACTGGAAGCTTTATACTTTTATATTTATGTCTTTGAACCATTTTAAGTTATTTTTTAATACAGTGTGAGATATGGATTTAATTTTGTCTTTTGTTTGCATATGGATACCCAATTACATCAGTACCATTTGTCAAAATGACTATTTTTTCCTCTACTGGATTATTAGGAAGAATTTTTTTAAGTTAAATGTATAAATATATAACAGATTATATAAAAATAACTTTGAGCTTTACTTGGCTTTCACTCACATCCACAGTTGATTATAAGTACAACAGAAGAATTAAAATGTAAAAAATCAGGTAAATTGAAGTTTATTCAAACCTATGGTCAGCTGAATGATCCAGTTGGTTCATACTTACTCCCACTGTCTGTGCTTCTCATTTAGTAAAATACCTATTTTGAGCAGGGGATGCTAGCCTGCCTGTTGCTGAGGACTAGAGACTTTCTACAGTATTACATTCATTTTCAAGGCACAAGTCCCTAACGTGGGACCACTAGATAAGGAAGTCTAACTTCAGAGGGCTGTGGAGGAAATTCTTTCTTCCAAACAGAGATCTATCTTATATTGGGCTTCCTTTGGTGTATGAATTAATTAAGTCCAATCAGTCAAAATATTTCCTTCTATTCAGTCTATTTTGAGAGAATAAAATATATGGCAGATGACATTTCTGTATGGAAAATTTAAGGTCTCTGTTGACTAGTTTCATTTGTTTGGGTCTACTAAGAAAACTCCAGCTCCCACAGGAAGTATGCACGCGTGTGCATGCACACACACACACACACACACACACACATTCTTGATTAGTCACTGTTTTTGCTTTGCCAGAAAATTAAACCATGTTCAATACCTTACAAATAGTTTACCAAGTCTGCATGCAGAAACTTTATTTTGTCTGAAGTTCCTCCCCAATACACCTTTATTTCGCTGTTGCTATCTCTATAAATTCTTCTTGCATAACTTCTGAGATTTGCAGGTCAACAAAATCATCAAATAAAGGTGTTACGCTGAGGAGGAAGAGTGTGACATGGTACTCACTGGTATGTGTATCCTAACGGTGGTACAAAAACTGTGTTTTTATTAGTTCCTTGCAATCCTGATTTTTTTTCTCCTATACTATAGCAGAGCAGCTAGAACCAAGACCTGTTTCACAGGATATGTAGCTCATTCATGATCTGTCACATTTCTGAACAATGACAATGGTACATTGACACACTGTATTCTGGTGTTAGAAGAGAAGATGGCATTATAGTGTAGAGAGTGGGTGCTCTGGGCTGAATGTTTGTATCCCCCACAATGTTGAAACCCTAACACTCAAGTAGATGGGGTGTTTGGGAGATGCTTAGGTTAGAAGGGCGGAGTTCCCACGAGTGGGGTCTGTGCCCTTGCACAGCAGACCATTCAGAGCTCCTTAGCCCCTCCCACCATGTGAAAATGCAAAGAAAAGTTTGGGACCAGGAAGAGAGCTCTCGCTCCACAATGCTGGCACCCCCATCTTAGACAGTAGCCTCCAGAACTGTGAGAGATACATTTTTGTCATTTATAAGCTGACTAGTCTGTGGTATTTGGTTATCACAATCTGAAAGGTCTAAAACATTAGGGCATCTGTACCAAATAGCTTCCTGACTCTCTGAGTGTATCCAGAGAGTCAATATGGCTCCAGGTTTCTGGAAAAGACCTCCCTGACATAACTAACTGTTCAAGGAAGTTCCCTTGATCTAACTGCCCGAAACAGCATGTGCTTTACCTACTCTGATATCACCACTAGGTTACAAATTACCTCTTTAATTCTTTCTATAATGCCTAATCCTTCAAATTGCCATCAATGTCATGTTTTTTTCTCACCCCTGTACACAAAATAGTGCCTGGCTCTGGGTAGGTGCCCATAATTGTGTGTCAAGTGAATAAGTATAACGGTGAGAAATCAATTATGTATATTCCAGTTTAACAATTAGTAATTTATTAAATAATTCTGAAAATTTTATTGAGTGCTTATGAATATCTTGCCCACTAGGCTGGATTCTAGGGATACAGAGAAGATAAGACATAGTATTTGATTTCAAAGAGCTTAGAATCAATTTTAATTTAGTTATTCTAGAAACACTTACTTTAAGGTGATTTTGGAAGCAAAGATAGGTAATAATTATTCATAAATTGGCTCATATTTGATATTATTCAGTTTCATAGATCCCACACAATGTTATAGCCCTTTATAGTTCTCTATTACAACTGAGCATTAGCATTAGCACCTAAAAGCTACTTGGCTTTGTAAGATCTGGCTCAGTCTCATTCTGTCTAATATCAATATAGGTAAAAATATTGAGATTTAAAGCAAAATGAGTAGTGGTACAAATGCTTATAGTGTTCTTTGCCTTTTAACTGCCAGCACAGCAGTTTTTCAAAGCTCATTTTTCAAATGACAACAATAACTGGCAGTTAACTTATATTTATTTTACAGTCAAGTAATACATTTAATTAAAAGTATCTATATATTTATATCACAAATATGTATATCACAATGAAGAGAAGAAGAAAGGAGAGTGGTTTAGCAGTATGGACACAAAAGAATTACTTCTTTACATCAGACTCTCATGATCAGGGAAGAGCTTCTCGACTTTATGTATTGTGGAGCCATTTGTGAGAGTATATACAGAAACTGTACTAGTTAATGTAAACTCCTCAGTGGCAAATATTGGACTGTATGCTGTTTTGTGCATTAGATACCAGTAGGACCATTATTCATGCTTTTAATTTGACTTAGTTTTAGAAAATCTAGACCAACCGAAGTCTGAAAAGTTGATGCAGAGGAAAGATTCTCAAAGAAGTATAGAACCATGACACATATGAAATTTCATCGTGGTTTCCCGTCATTGTTGAGGCAATATAGCCATGATTTACAGAGGTGTTATCACCAGGGATGCAATGTACAGCGTAGACATTATAGCCAATAATATTATATAAATTTGTAAATTGACAGATGGCTACTAAAATTAGTATGGTGATCATTCATTAGGTATATAAATGTGGAACAGCTATGTTCTACACCTGAGATTAATACATTATTATATGTTACCTATAATTTAACTTAAAAATTAATAAAGTAAAACAATTGAAGAAAGTATAAAATAAAAAAATGAAGGGGTACCATCACTTTCCAGCTTTACAAAGTAAGTTATAAACAAAGGCAGAATAAAACTCTAAATCTTTTCATTCTTAGTTATAGACTCTCTCCAATACTAGAAACTTTTAAAATTACTGTTGTTGTTTGAAGCGAAAATGCCTACTTCTTTGCCTACACCTGATTGGAGAATAAGCTTCCTCCTGACACAGCCTGAGAACTGAGGGTTTTTGTTTGGTTGTTGTTTTCTTTACAAAAAGTGTAAAGGATTTGTATAATTTGTAACATAGGCACAATTATTTAAAGTTAATACATTTTTATTTAAGAAATTTTACATGTTCTGAGTCCTTCCACACACTGCCTTAGTTTCTCCCGAATTTGACTCTTAATCCCTTTTCTCGCTCAGTCCAGTTGTCATTTCAGTCAGTCCTATGTAACAGGAATAGAGATAATCACATGATCACAAACCATCTTGTCACGAGCAACCTACAATGAGCTAGACAGAGGACATCAGTAGGACTCCAGAGATCTAAGGTAGCTACCTAAAGTCTCACTGATTACCACTGGCTGTTACAAAATCACATATAGCTTGTGTTATATTGATATGGGACAGTGCTAGTCTAGGCTATGAAAATAAGTAAGGGTTAAGGCAACGTTCCCAATAGGCTGAATGCTACCAATGTAGTAGAAAGAAGACCTATGGGGATGAAACTTCATGGTCATGTCCACAGCAAATGAGAAACTGCCTTCTCAAAGGCTTGGCAATGACCATGAGAGAGCTGAGTGTTTAAATCAGCTGGAACTTCATTCATAGAGCCACTGCCCCAAAGAACAGTAGTCAGAGAAGGAGATTCATATCAAAAAGCAACTTAAGACCCATGCTATTGTACAGCCGATTTAAAATTTGAGTGCCAATGGTATGGTAAAAAATAATAATAATAATTTCAAAATATGTGGATTTCAAAAAACTGTTCTTTAAACCCACCACGCTTTGTATTAAGTGTTCCTTCACCTGCCGCTTGTGACATGAATTCAATGAGCCGCGTGGGTTTCAGCAGAGTCCCCATTTCCTCTCCTTTCCCTCTCCATATTCTGTTCTGCACCATCTTACCCATTTCTGTTGGCTTCAGTTATCACTGATTCGAGTACAACTCTTCACATGGATATTTCCCTCCGCCAATCTTTCCTCCTGCATCCCAGACTCAAATGCATTGGACTTTTCTACCTAGAACACCTCCACGTACATCAAGTTGCACGTGTGAACATGGCTCATTACCATCTGGTTCCAAAGCTCGGTTTTTCTTGCATTTCCCATGTAAGCTCTTCCCTGGATGTCGCCTTACATTTCCGCTGCGGCCGTGCGCTCCAGGTCTGGTCCCATCTATCAGTTCTAGCTCCAAAGAGCTCCCAGATTTGTCCCTGCTTTTCATTTCCGCCACTTCCACATGACTCCAGAAACCTACCCCTCCTGTGTGACTTCTGTGTTTCCGTCCCATTTCTCACACAACTCCTTTCCTTTACCCATATTGGAGCTGGGAAAATCACACATGCTCAGTACAGGAGGAATATTCTAGAACTCTTAGGTTAGCAAAAGGCCCTTCCCAACGGGTCCCTGACTTTTCCCACTTACCTACCTCAGGCTAATGAGCCTCAACTTTCCTCCAGTTACCTGAACCTCAGCCACTCTAAACATGTCAACAGTTCCTGAATGTACTCAGCCCTTTCATACTTCAGAGCATGCCTGATAGGGTACATTTTCTCCTCACATGTGATGAAATCTTACGCATTTTACAAAATTTGATTCTCTTGCTCTCTCCGTAAAGCCTTCATTTGAAGCCGCAAGACTAGTAAAACGAGACCCTCTCTCTTTTATGTTCCCCTAGCAGTCTGTTTCTTTGCCTGTTGTGACACCACATTGCAGTCTAACAAGCTGTGCGTGTAACTTTCCCAAATACTGTGAGCTCCCCTAGGTCAAGAACAGCATCACATTTCTCTTTGCAAACGATCAAACTGGAAACAACCATAGGGGTTAGGGGCCAGGTAGCATTCAGTATGTGTTTGCTTAATAAAGGAATATGATGAATGAGTGCATACATGGATGAATGGAGGAGTGGTGGGTGAATCAAACACAGTCCCTTGAATCCCCATCTCGGGGACAGACTGTAGTAGGAAATGAGTAAGACGCGTACATCAAAGTAGCCACATAGGGGATGTAATGTCAGGCAATCAAAAAGACTCATGTCCACAGATATTTCCCTTTGAGATCTTTAGGGTACTTGTAAGTTTTAAAAATAGGGCCAAGGTTTTTATTATATAATTAGAAAAGAAGTTAAATCTTAAAATACCATAGTCAGTGATTGATCATGCAACATGAAATTAGGGGTCAATGACATTGAAGTTTATTTTTTGGCCTTTATAGAACATTCCTGATGATCAGGCTGCATGAGGTTGAGACCCAATGCAATAATCTACTGGTTTGACCGATAGGTAGATCTCTCTGCCTCAGTTTCCTCATATGAAAAACAGGGCGTGTAAGGATAGAACTGTCCTCCTGGAAGTTGTATGATGAAACTCAGTAAGTAGCACATGTGTGATGCTTACAGGGGTGCTTTGTATCTTGTCTGTGTTTAATAAGCTATTATTTTGAATTCCTACTAATTTATGATTGATGTCAGGACTTCCATGGAGGGAAATTTGTAATGGTAGAGTGAGGCTTACCAGGAGGGAGCATAGGATGCTGCAGAATGGAGGGTCCAGGAAGACAGAGATGGGCAGGCAAGTGCAATTTTCTCCTCAGGCCCATTTGAGCCTCCACCCATATAATAGCAATTATTACATTATTTCAGTTCTAGATAACAGTAAGATGATTTTTTACGACGAAGAAGGCTGGATGTTGAAGGAAAATGATCATGACGTAGTTTTAAAGCAGTTTGCCTTTTCTGGAGGAAAAAAAAACACACAACATATTGAAGAGAAAAATTAGAAAACATTCATTCAAAGTGGAAAAGGAACTAACCACTGTCAAAACAACAGGAAAACCTGTAAGGAAAGATGGAAAACAGAAGAAAAAGATCTACGAGTAACTCTCTGAGTAAGGGAGGGAGAGGGATGTCAGTGTAAATGTCAAATGTGGGTGTAATCATGTAAACAACCATTAGTCTGTTGGCATACTGTGCAAGAAGAAAAATAGTTCCTTGCCTTACAGTGCCAGCATTCTAAGCTCAATTTTAACTAAAATATATAGAGATAGCCATACAAAACAGAGAGAAGACAATAAAAGTGGATCAACAATATAGAAATTATTCAGGAGGTAAACTCAAAGGCTTTTTGCAGTTGACTGGGCTTACTTCAGTTACATGGATTCCAGAACTACAAATTGCCATCTATTTGTTACTTCTCCACTGTTCTCTTTACATAAATTAAGATGACAAACGAGACCTAAATCTCCCCATTTGCATAAAAAGACCAAAATAGTTGAATTAAGGGCTTGGTCCATGTTCTAAATTCTGTTCACTACACATAGGAAAGCCTTTCAGAGACCAATTGCTTTCATTTAAGAGCCCTGTCATGGGCACAATTTTTGATCTGCTTCCTTTTTATACCATAAGAGTTAATTAGCAGGAGATTATAGGAAAGTTGGTGGAAATATATAAACATAATTTGTACAATATTTGTCAATGCATAGTTCTACATATAACTATATGCAATATATACATATTAAATCTAAAACTTCTGAAATGTATAAATGTAACAATGTAGCAAACAAAAACAAAATAACAGACAAGAACAGTAGAAACATTAAAACTCAAGATACACACGCAGTCTGGGACTGGGCACAGCAGGGACACTGCATGGCTAACATCACCAGCCATAGAACAAGGGCTGTGCCATGTTCCTCTGCAGCCTGCAATAATGCATAGTCACACTCACAAACCTAAAACTTCATGGAAAATTTAAATAATAAAGATGGAACACAAATTAAGAAAGATTGCTGCCCTGGCAGGGTAGCTCAGTTGGTTAGAGCCTCATCCCCATATACCAAGGTTGAGTGTTTGATTCCCAGTCAGGGCACATACAAGAATCAACCAATGAAACCAATGAATGCATAAATAAGCGGAGCAACAAATCTCTCTCTCTCTCTCCCCCCTCCCCCTTTCTGATTTTATCTCTCTAAAATCAATCAATAAAAAAGAACATTTTCTGCTTTTTTAAATTAAATTTTATATTTTTTTATGTAGAAAATTCACCTACATGGAACATTTCATTTGAGGACACTGAAGGGAAAATGAGTACCAGGTATTTGTCAGTATTATTATAATCATGGCAAGATTGTAGCTTTCCTTTTTCGCATTGCAAGCAGTCAAAACCAGTTTCTGTTCTCTTTCTATTATGGCCAGATTTAAGGATGAATACTAGTTCTGCCATCAATTTAAAACCAAAGAAGAATGAGAGATTATTAATTTGAAATGCCCAAATCTTAAAAGTTTTTATTGCATCAGATTTAATTAAAACAAAATTCATCGAAATTCAATGATTAAAAAAATTATTTCACTCAAACATGTCATAATGAAAACCTTTGAAATAGTTTAGAGGAAGCCGAGGTGACCACGTCGAGGAGAAAAATGCTTGCCTTTCCCCTTGCTGGGTCTCTAAAGTTCCCCTAGAAACACAGGTCCCAAGGAGTCCTTCGAACTATTTGAATCAAATAAGCCATTTTGGGAGAAAAAGGACAGGACAAAAGACTATACCAGATCCATCCTGCGGGCGAGGTATGATTGAGGCAAATAGTGAATTTTCTCCAAAGAACACAAGCAAAATGCTTTTGGAAAATCCATGCCTGGCCTGTGTCGTCCTCCTATGGCTAACCTGCCTGTTTCCTTCCTCTGGAAATACAGACCACGGCTAGATTCTACCGAGGAGATAGTGGCTGAGCTCCAAGACCAAAGGAGCCTGGGTCTGTGTGTGGGCACATGGGGAGAGCTGTCCTGTGGACAGGAACACCAGCCCTCCCTCTCATGAGAGTGAACAACATCCATTATCTTAAACCACGAATAGTGTCTATGTGTGATCATTGCCTCACTCACCCTAATTAAAATGGTTAATTAGAGCATTTTGAGTTAGATTGACCTAGCACTCAGTCCCTCCTCCCAGTTAATCAAATACGTGGCTTTGATGAAATCTCCCAACCTTTGAAAGCCTCTATTGCCTCATATTTGGAAAGGGGACAATAGTACCCCATACCCACTTCAGAGTGTCACTGTGCATTTTAAATCAGATAATACATGATAAAATACTTAGCATGGTGCCTAACAAAATGTTTAATAAGCAGGAGGTATTATAATTAGTTTGGTAATTAAAAACCATAAATACTATCCAAGGGAGAGAAAATAACGTCTGAATAACTTTTAAAACTGTGTATGCAAGTGCAGACTCTCACCTCGATATAACCCAAATGGCAATTCAATTTTCTCCCTTGGAAAACTGCATGAGCAAGAGGATCTTTAGTGCTCGGCAGTTTCAAATATTTTTAAATTCAAAGGTATAACGTCAGCCAGGCTGGTGTGGCTCAGGGGTTGAGCATCGACCCCACGCACCGAGACGTCACCGGTTTGATTCCCGGTCAGGACACATGCTCAGGTTGTGGGCCCGATTTTCAGCTGGGGGCATGCAGAAGGCAGCCAATCGATGTTCTCTCTCATTGATGTTTCTATCTCTCTCTCTCTCCCTCTTCGTCCCTCTCTCTCTCTCACATCAATAAATAAAATAAAATA